GGAGGAGGAGGAGGCAACTGGGGGAATCCCTTGGTGGGACTTCCAGTTCTGGCCTACTTCTTTCCTTCCTTCCCCTCCTCTTTCCCCTCCTCTTGTTCTGACAACAGCCAGTGACATTTTTCACAATATCTTCTCTTACATTAAACAATGCAGAGAGGGGAGAGAAATAACCACAACTCCAAGCTCTTAGGAAAAGCTGGCGTGGAACCCTTTCTTCCGACTTTTGGCTTTCTGAACCTTAGGGCCTTTTAGCATCCCATGGCGATTACTGTTGGCTTTCTTAGAAGGCGCCGCTGTCTCAGGTAGACCACCGTCTCCTCTCAAGAGGGGTACTGTATCATCCAAAATCCACAAAACCGGGATACTTTTATGGGGCCAACCAAAATGCGCACTGTATGTGTTGCAAGCTTTCCAAGCTCCACTGGCTTCTTCATCAGGGAAAGGTGTTAAAAATTATACAGGAGAAAGGGGGGGGGGAATACCAATAATGTTAATCCTAGGCCTGCATTTGGTCAAGATGTGGTTGTCCTCAGTTCAGAAGACATACATGTTGCAAGCTTTCCAAGCTCCACTGGCTTCTTCATCTGGGAAAAAAAAATCATACAGGAGAAAGAAAGGGAGGAAAATACTGTTGATGTTAGTCCTAGGCCTGCATTTGGTCTGGATGTTGTGGTTGTTGTCCTCAGTTAAGATAGTAAGGATGGTTATTCATGCAAGTGGGCCTCTCTTTCTTCTGGCCATGTGGATACTGGGCAATTCAGTCCAGGAACTTTAAATGTAAACATTAAATTCCAGAAGGAGGAGGAGCCGCCTTTGTGAATGCCCTTCCATAACTGAGGACAACAACCACAACATCTGGACCAAAATGCAAGGCTAGGACTAACATGATCAATATTTTTTTATCTTTTTCCTGTATCATTTTTAACACCTTTCCCCGAGGAAGAAGCCAGTGGAGCTTGGAAAGCGTGCAGCATGTATAATGTCCTGTATGACTACAACATGTATAATGTCCTCTGAACTGAGGACAACCACAACACCTTGATCAAATGCAGGCCTAGGACTAACATCGTCAATGTTTCTCTGCCAATTCTTTCTCCTGTATCATTTGTAACACCTTTGCCTGATGAAGAAGCCGTGGGCCCAATAAAGGTATCACTGTTTTGTGGATTTTGGATGATACTGTACTTTGCTATATGGCCAACACGGCTAACCCATGGATGCATGTTCTCTCAAGTGGGTTAGGGAGGCAATGCGTTCCACTATTCCTTGCCTTCCACCCCATGTTTTCTTTTCTCCAGTGAAAGAACCTAGAAATGAATGATGGGTTGTTTTAAATGTTGTGGCTGGTGGCCAGTGAGTCTCCCATTCATCAGGGCACACAGAGGTTTATTGTGCTGGTTCTAGTCCGCACCCACTTACTTCCAATCTCCCACCAGTTTCCTGTCCAGGGCAGAGAAATAATAACCATGACTGTTGTAGGCGGAAGCAGGACTTCTTGGAGTCTCTGGAGTCTTTTCCCTCCAGAGAACCCAGGAATCCACAACCTTAGTCACACAAGAATGCATCCTCAGTGTACTTTAACAATCCTGAAAATCCAGGGATCCTGGATATTAATGGGGCATTAATGGCTAACTAGAAAGAATGACCAATGCTTAATTTTGTATTGCAACCCAATTGTTGTAATTATTCTTTGCTTTAATTGACTTTTATTATTTTACCTATATACACCCATGCTTTTCCATTTCAGTTTTCTCTGAAGATGCTAGCCACAGATGCTGGCGAAACGTCAGAAAGAAACTCTTCTGGAACATGGCCACACGGCCTGAAAAAACCCACAAAAAAAACTATTTTACCTATTGTTTTGTATTTTAGATTGTACTCATTTGGCAGGTTTTTATTCTATTTTATTCTAGTTTATGCTTTGATTGTCTCTTTGTACAGTGCTGTGTACATTGACAGCGCTTTAGAAATAAACTTTAATCATCATCATAATCATTATCTGTCTGAAAACCATTTGGTACCTCTACACTGTAGAAATAACGCAGTTTTCATACCACTTTAAGTGCTTTATCTCCATCCTACTTTTAAAAAGTACTCTGCTTTAATTACTGTAATAATTTAATTCTATTTGAATGCATCTCTTTTATATGTTTTTAATTGTACTGTTCTTTTTAAATTGTAAGCCACTCTGAGTCCTGGTTTTGTGGGAAAAGCAGGATACAAATAAATATTATAATGTAATATATAATACTATGGACTCCTGGGATGTGTAGTTTCACAAGGTCTTTAGTCTTCTCTGCCAAAGAGGGCTGGTGCCTCACAAAACATCCCAAGATTCTGTCGGATGGAGCCATGGCAGTTAAAGTGGTATAAAGCTGGCATTATTTCTATAGTGCAGATGCACCCTTAAAGTCCTTTCCCTTCTATTTCAATATATGGAGGAAGACTGACGCAATGAAGAGAGGAAAGCAGTTTTAAAGGCAAGCTGACAATTATTTCCTCATTGGTCTTGGAGAGGAACCAAACAGATAAAAGATTCCCCTCCTCCCTTTGTGGCCATTTGTTGGTGGTGTGCAAATGCGTAAATGTTTGAATCACATTGATGTCCATATCACAAAAAGGGAATCTGTGTGAGTAGCAGCTCCTCTACAGTGGAGGCTGGGCAAAGTCTAGTGTGTGTTTGTGTGTAGTGATAAGGGTTGTTTATAGTCAAGCAGCTTATCCCATAACAAGATATCTGTCAGTCACAACTCTGTAACACAGTCTTTAAAAATATTCTTTAATAAAATATCTTTTATAGATTCGAAGAATCATAAGAGATTCCAAAGAGTCCAACCTCCTGCCATGCAGGAACTCACAATCAAAGCATCCCTGAGAGATGGCCATCCAGCCTCTGTTTAAAGACCTCCAAAGGAGACTCCACCACTCTCCAAGGGAGTTTGTTCCATGGTTGAACAGCTCTTACTGTCAGGAAGTTCCTCCTAATGTTGACCTGGAATCTCTTTTCCTCTAGTTTGAATCCATTGCTCTGGGTCCTTCCTATTCAGCAGAAAACAAGCTTGCTCCAGCCTCAATATGACACCCCTTCAAATATTTAAACAGGGTGACCATATCACCTTTTAACCTTCTTTTCTCCAGGCGAAGCACACCCAGCTGCCTAAGTCTCTTCTCATAGTGCATGGTTTCCAGACCTCTGGTCACGCTCTAGTTTGTCAACATCCTTTGTGAATTGTGGCACCCAGAACTAGACACAGTATTCCAGGTGAGGCCTGA